ATAAGCCCATTTCTTGTTGCTTCTTCCACATATCTCTCGGTTTTCTGAAAATCCCTCAAGTAACATACCTGTAATTACAAAGTCAGCTCTTGTTTGTTTTGAAAGGTTTGCCTAATGGGAAAATAAGTAATTAAGATCTCCAGCCAGCTGTAGCCAACTTTAGCCACAAACTGTTCATTTCAGAGGGTGCTGGAATAACTGACTCAACTTGAAAATTTAAATAGTTGCTTCAGAATACTGGCAAAAAAAAAATTAAATTGGACTCATTGAATTGGGAATTGTTGATTCTGACTTCATGTTTGAGTTTTCAGAGTTATTTAAGGTATTCTTTTTTAATACATAGTGGGCTGGGCTTTTTCACCTCAAATTAACAAAGCAGGTTTTTTTTAAGGACTGACTCCTTAACTGAAGGAATATGCTCTTGAGATGTATGATACTGCCAAAGATCACAACCACCACTGAAACTAGAAAATACTGACCCCATTAACACTGAGATTAAAAAGAAAATGAAGGTGAGGACTTGTATTGCAAGACTGTGAAATGCACTCTGATGAGACTGACCCGGACATTTTTGTACAGCCATGAAGCAGCAAAGCAAAGCTTGTTAACCTTTTTCATCGATTCCAGTTTCCTTTTTGTTTAAATTGAAATGTCTAATGTTTCCTGTTTTTTTTCATTACTACATAGTGTAATACAGTTGCTGCTGCTATTAACCTTCAGGCAGACAGAAAATCAGTGAAGGTTGATGTGTGATACACTTTTATCTGGAACTAATAGCCCTTGCACTCAGTTACAGAGAAAATATTGTAACACCTGATTTGTGATAAAGATAGTGGGAATAAGAGCTAGTGCAGCTCAGAGAAGCCATTTTTTGTTGTCTGATGGTGAACTCTGCTTCTTTTGGCCACAGGTGTCTCACAGTGCAGAGGAAGGAGTCACAGAGAAGAGAGATCATTAACCCTCTTCAAAAGCTTAATATTCCATAAATGGCACATGGAGAAAGCGCAATGGTAGCTGCTCTTGAATCCCCAGTGAAGAAAATCTCTGCCTGGTGCAACAAGCTGCTAGCTGTGCAGGGGATGGAGCAGCAGAAAATTGCTAAAGATATCACGAAACCTGCTTTGTTGGGCTGCACTCTGGTGGGGGTTGCAGTTATGTGACTGCACTGAGACTGCTGCTGGAAATTGCATTGAAAAGATGTGGAAGCATCCTCTGCTCAAACAGGTGATGAAATTCTTATGAGTTTGGTGGGTCTTAACATTCATTTGTAGATAGCAGCATCTGTGGGGAAAGAGATGGGGTTTCATGGGGTGAGTGAGTGGGATGACTTTGATTTTCACAATTTCTGCTTTCCTGTATGCCTGCAGTGCTGTTCATATCATATGGATAGTTTCTGTGGAAGTGACACAATATGCTGGGCTGCTGAAGATACAGCTGCCAAAAAAATGGTGCAACTGATTTAGTACGAAACTAGATTAAGATGTGCACTTGGGCAACAGGTGAACAGTAAAAGGCAGGTCCATCAGGTCTTTATTTTGTTTAAAAATGGAGGTTTTCTGACTGGTGATTAAACTAGTCAAGGACATTCAGCTAATATCCTGGTAGAACTTTGAAAAATTCAGCTGACAGTTCTACTTCAGAAGCAAGGCAGTCAGGTACAAGATACTCACTGAAGTGTGCTCCCACGAGGCAAAAAACAACATGCAGACAGGTTGCAAGATTGCAGTAGAGGCCATAGGTGATAACTGGGCTTGGGCTCATAAATCACATGGCAGACTGATAATACAGATGCTTTTGCTGTGGAATACTGATTAGGGCCAAATACTGACAATTTGGCTCTCTCATAATTTGCTTTTGAAAGAGTGTTGTTGAAACACATTTTTCTCATGTCCCTTCAAGTTTGTTATCAGAGCTGTGGTGCATTTGGGCTTTTGTAGCACTGTTTAAAATAAAAGGCAGGGGAGACTTCACTCTGCCTGCCTGTAACAAATTACTTGACTCCCCTTCCCTCCTCCACCTCTTGCTGTTTGGACCCATCTTCTGGTAATGGGATTTTTGCACAAGTAGTTTGTTTTTTGCTACCAGTGGTATTAATCTAACTTGCCTGTCCTACAAGGGAGAGCATCTTCTTCAAAAGAAAGGAGGAGGGAGATGGGGCATTGTTCAGGAGAAAGAATGTGTGATCTGTGCAAAGTCCTCCCCTCTGAAAAAGGAAGGCTGCAAAGTCTAGATTGCTGTCTAATTCCTTTGGAATCTGCAACTGCTCAGTCCAGACTTTGTATTTAGGAATAACCCCACTCTCTCTGTTTCTGGAAATGTTGTTATACACAAGTAGGAAGGGGAGATAGTTGGGTTCTTACTAAGGTGGAGAAATAAGGAAATGGTCCAGTATTTACCAAGTTCCTGAATCATAATGTTAATTTTCCTGAAATCACCTAAGTGGCATGCCATTGTCCTTCTTTGCTGGTGTGACTAGTACTTTTCTATCTCCCAAGATCAGAGACTTTTACAGGAGTGGATGAGCTGAGAAGTCAGTTGCTCCCTGAAAAATGATAAGATTTTTCCTCAGCTGCATGTGTGGAGGTCTTGGTGAACAACACTTTCCCAACATTCTCCTCAAAAGCCCTGTGAAAATATTTCAGTCTTTGCCAGAAACTGATTGCCACATACTTCAGCCCCTTACTTACTGCTGTACCTCAATCAAAGGGAACAGCCATTCCTGCATTCCCCTGGTGAAAAAGTAACTGTCTGAACACCTGTGCACCAGCAGCGCTTGCAGGCTGTACTGCAACGGGTGAGTTTTGCCTGTGGAGGATGGATGGATCCTTTCCTGTGGCATAAGCTGTACATATGTATGTCCTGGGATATATTATGCTGTACCTGTACAGCAGAAGCTGCAGTAGTGACCAGACTCAGACGACCTTTAGGAACAGCAGGAGGGAAGTGGAGGGCAGCCTGGAAGTAAGTGTTCCCAGGGAAGAAAACACCATCCTGTCACCCACAGAAAGCAGCTCTAGGCTTCAGCAGTGGTGCTTCCCTACCCGCCGGGGCCTGCAGGCTAGGTAAAACACAGCCAATGCTGGGAATCGAGAGCAAGGAGCACTGGAAACCCAGGCTGCGTGGTTCCTTGAGAACTGTGTCCGATTGTTGACTACCGTGTGTGTGGGCAGGTACGAGCTGCGACCGGGGCTCCTCCCGCAGGGAGCGAGCTCCGGTACCCACCAGGATGCAAAGCCGTGCCCAGCCGCCTCCCTCCCAGCACCGCCGAGCAGGGTGGGCGGCAGCGACCCCACTCACGGCGCCGGCCCCCGCAGCCCCCGGGGGCGGGTCTCCGCTCCCCCTCCGCCGAGCGGGCACCTCCCTCCGGGCGCGGCGCCGCGCAGAGCTCGGGGCAGCGCGGCCGCGGAGCCCCGGACCCGCTCCCCATCGCCCGGCGCTCACAAGGGTTAAACACCGCCGAGGCAGCTCCCATCGCCCGGCGCTCACAAGGGTTAATCACCACCGAGCCACGGAGCCCAGCGCGCCGCCCCTCGCCCGGCGGCTCCGCAGCGCCGCCGCCCGGCCCCGCCGCCGCCCCCGCCTGCCCCGGCCCCGCCGCCGCCGCGCACATGGCCCCGGCCCCGGTAAGTCCGCGGGTAAGTCGGCGACAAAAGCCGGGCGGCGCCGGGCGGGGGAGCCCCGGGAGGTGACGGGCTGGGGAGCGCCGGGGCAGTGTGGAGGCGCTGCGGGAGCGCTGCGGGGTCCGGCCGGGGCGGGGGGCGGGCGATGAGCGGCTCTGCCCGGCCCGCAGCCCCCGCTGCCCGCCCCGCCCCGGCGGGGGAGCCGCGGGAGGGTGGCCCGGCCGTGGGTGGCCGCACCGGGCCGTGGCTTCGCGGAGGGCCCGGCCGGAGCCGTGCGAGTCGGAAATCTGTAGCGATCGGCTCGCGGTTGCCAAATCTGACGCCCCCAGCCGGGACCCGAGGGCAGTGATGGCAAGGAAGGATGCTGCCAGAAGTGCCCCCGCTATGGGGCTGGAGGAGATGTCATTGCCCAGGCCGCTGGCGGGGACACAAGCCCTGGTACCTCAGACAGGGATCCGGCAGCTTTGGCCACTTTCTAGGGAGAAGAGAATGAGCTGGTGTGCCAGGGTGATGCCAGGGCAGCATGTGCTCTGTTAGGGATCCCACCAGGTAAAGACTCTAAGCTGAGCAGTCCTCTGTGAAAGGAAGCCAGCAGTCTTGTTCCAGGGCTTGCACATTTCCCATGTGTGACCTGCCTTAGCCTTGGGAAAGATTACGCTTCCCAGAACAAATGGAGGACCTGTGACTTTGAGATCTTCTTTCTAAGGACTTCCTTCAATGGATAGTGACAGAGCCTGTATTTCACTCAGCTGTGTTTGTGACACTTAGGCTGTATAAAGGAAACCAACATCCCTGACCCTGTCCACAGAGATGTTGCTTGGTGTGGTGCATCCTCGAGGAGAAATGCCTTTGGCTTCTTTCTCCTCACAGCCCTCGGTGGAATAGATTACAAGAAGGTCTGCAAAAGGAAGGGGTTACTCACTTCAGTGATGGTCTCCTGAAAGCCAAAACCACTGGAGCTTATATTGAGTTTGAGGTAGCTCCAAACTCATTCTGAGTGGAGATTCAGAGAAGCAGAGCTGGTTTCTGGAGATTTCCCACTCTGCTTTTGGCAACAAGTGCTGGATCCAAATGGCTTGACCCAGTTTTACTTACAGGTATGTTCAGTGTTTAGAAAAGGAACAACACTTCAGCCAAAGTCCTTATAAATCAGACTGATTTTCTGAGGGAAGGGGAGGCTCTTAATATGAATATTTATCCTGTGTGTTTCATAGCATCATTGCGGAACTAGATGTCAACCATGTGCAATCCCCAATACAATGAGGTGCTAGACCAGCAGTTCCCTTGCAGGATAAGGCCTTCCTGCATTTGGAGAGCACGCCTTGTGTATCTGTATGTGTATATTCACATGCATACTTCCAAAGAAGATTCTTGTCTTAATGCTTTTGAGCAGAAGCACCTGCATTTAATGAAGAAAAGACAACATTCTCCCATGACATTCCTTGAGTGACACAACAAACACCATCACAATAGTGAGCAAACAGTTTTTGCAGAACAGAACAGCATCTTTTCAGTGCATTCACTTCCAAGAGGATACCATCTTTTTCTTTGAATCCTGAGCAGTAGCATTTCACATGACTCTGTTTCCCCACGCACTTGGAAGAGGTGGCTTTTCCCATCTTTCCCACACTGTTGACCTGTGTCAGTTGTTCGGCGACTGAGGCACATTTGCATTGTTCAGGGCCTCCAGCAGCCTCGTAGCAGCCTCCTGCAACTCTTCTTCCTTCACTGCCTTCCCAACGGACAACAACAGCTTCATTGTCTGCAGCGAGCTCTGCACCTGGCTGTCTAGCAGCCTGAGGAGGAGATCCTCGATGTCACTGTGTGGCAGCTGTGGGCCGCTGGCTGTCGCCTCTGTGGCTGGTGGGCCAGCAGGTGAGAAGGTGGGGGTCACAGATACTTCCGTGTCAGGGCTGGAGCCAGCTGGATGGGTACTTGTGGGAGATGTGGGGTGAAGTGGACCGAAGTTTCTGGATGACATGGCATCGCTGCTCGTGCTAATGTCGTTGGTGCCTGCTGTGTTCGGCAGCTTGGCGCTGCTCTCTCCTGGGCATGCAATCCTCTGTGGAGGAGAAAACATACCTCTGTAGAGGCTTCAGGAGCAGGCACCTAGGCACTCCCCTGTTCTGTGAGTTTAGCTCTCACTGCACAATCCCATCTTTCCCACTCCCTACAAAGATGAGCCCAAGAAAGCAAAGAAACCTTCATATCCTTTCTTTGTCAAGTCTCCCCATGTCTCTCATGGGACTCACAGCTGTCTTTACTTTCTTTCTCTTCTAGCCTGCATGAATCCCCCTCTCTCCTGGAGAACCTAGATTGTCTCAACTTGGTTGGGAATGAGCTGGAGAGGAGGGCTGAGGTGGTCCTCAAAGGTTCATTTTCTTGAAGATAACTCCTGCAAAGTCTCCTTTTTGGCAACTGGCTTCAGGTGCCATCTGAAGCTAATCAGCTTGGTGTGAGTGCCCCTGGAATGTGGGCTACCCTTGGTTCTCTCCTCTCTTCCCTGTCTTTTAGCCTCTTGTTTTCCCACTTCCTCATTTTCAGGGCTCTCCCTTTGGCCTGTTACTTGCCCAGAGCACACATAGTCTTCAGGAAATAGCTAAATAACTCACCTTAAGAAAATACTTTTTCTTAATACAGCGATAAAAAGAAAAGGTGCAGAAGTTTGGGAAGAAAGGATTTCCTGGCATTTCGGAGCAGACGGGTCCTAGAAAGAGGCAAGTAAAGAGACAGACCTAGTGATAAACTCCAGTGCTGGCATCTACCAGCCCTTAGCAATAACCTCACTGTCGAGTGACATCCCTCCATGAAAACCCCTATGCCATTTGGGTGCCCCCCGGAACCTTGTGAGAAACTCTGTGTTTTCTTGGTCATTTCCATGACCCAGAGTGTGAGAGGAGGCTGGTCCTAGGGACATGTGAGGATGCAATCAGGTGTGAGAAAGGATGTGCATGAGCACATGCCTTGTCTTCACTGCAGGATTGCTACCCATCTCTCTCCCCCACCAGCTCCCAAGTCTGTCCTCTCCCAGTGATCAGGTCCCGTGTTGGCCGTGCAGGACCCCCATCCAGCTGCCTGCCCTTGGGAATCACACTTGGCTTTACCTTGAGGGATGACTCCGTGGTTTTCGTACTTGTCCAGTGTCTGGACCAGAGAGTTCTGGCAGCCATACAGCTCACGAAGATGGCAGGCAGTGCTGGCTTGGAGAGTGATCCGGAGGAACTTGAAGAACTGGCGGTACTCCTGGTCGGAGAGTGGCGTTCCTGGCTGCTGTGCCTTCGTCCCCCGAGGGCCAACTATGCAGCCCCAACCCAAGAGCACTAGTGAAAAATAAAGTGCAGGGAGTCAGAGGGAGAAGGAAACCCTAACCACACCATATTCAGAAGAGCTGGAGGGCTGAATCCAGATCTCGGTTGCCTTTTCTGGGTGCAGGACCCAGCATGTGGGAAATGCAGTAACAGACTAGAGATGGCAGGTCCAGACCTGGGAAAAACCTGCGCCACCCATGTTGAGAGGGGTGTAATATTTTGGGGACAGTACTTGGCTGAGGGGCCTTCACCATAGCTCTGGAGATTCAAATCTTGAACTGGGAGAAATGTCTTGGAAGTCATGGCTGGGAATATTGCTATGCTCTTGCAGCTGGAGCAAGGAGACTTTCATTTCAAGATTTTTAGCCTCTGCAAATGTTCTTCCTCTGGCTAAGTAGGTCTTTAACCAAGGTCCTCTCTCAAATCTCCTTCTCCTGCCTCCCCTGTTGCTTCACTGGGCCAGCTCTTTCCTCCTGGCCTTGCAGGTCAAGTCTAGATCTCTGTGCTTGTGTCTGATTTAATGCACCCAGGTGTCCCTGTCTCCAGTCTCTACCTCTGCTCCAGTCTGTGCCTACACATCCAGCTCTGACTCCTCCCTGGCTCCTGGGTCACTCTGTGGCCCTTCCTGAAGAATAAGATACCAGCACCAGTGGGTGAAAACTGCCAAAATTGTAAGCCTCGGGATCTTTGCACCTGAGGTGTTGGAGGGTGCTCCCGTCCCTTCCTTTTGCCTCCAGACTGCCCAAGCTGAGGAGCGATGGGGAGGGGTGCAGAGCAGCCACTTCAGCTGCCCTTTCTCACAACCAGGCTTGGAGGAGAGATGTTTGCTACTCACCAGACAAAACCAGGTAAGCCCTCATAGCCGATATCGAACTGTGAGCAGGCCCTGTGACAGGCAGGGCCGACAGTCAGGGCCCAGTGTGCTGCCAGAGGTGTCACCTCCACTCTTTCACTGGTGATGTCACAGACACCTGCATTCCCAACACTCCATCCTCTGCTGCTCACGCCTCCTCCCAGCTGTGCCTCCCTGCTGCCTCCCCCCCCGCTGCCCCCTGACAGGCTGAGTGTGGACATATTGGTATTTGTGCACAAACTCCTGCTCACTGCCAGCTCTTTAAAGTCCATCTGGAAGGAGGCCATTTTTCTGGAGCACAGGACAAAAAATTCTGCCTTTGGACTGCTTCTGTCAATAAATGTGTGAGCAGATCAAAATCTTGTCTCTCACCCAGAGCTTTGCGTGCCTGGCTGATCCACTGAGAGCAACTGAGCAAAGTACTCCTTCAGTGAAGGCAATAAACAGAGTTCCAGGCAGAGGCAAAAAGCAGCCTGGTTGTGAAGGTGGCATTTTTCCTCCACCTGCAGAACAGAACTGCATTACATTATGTTCTCCTTTAGTTCACTGGGAAGAAAGATGATGGCGAAAACACAGTTTGAAGAATTGATATTTTTCTTACACAAAACTCATCAGGAGGCATTTTTGGTCTGAGAGTGCAGCAGGAGGAACATCCAGACACTTGTGAGAAGGCAGCAAGCTGGCAGGCAGCTCTCAGTGTGTGTGGTTGACCTGTCTGTCCTACATGAGGTGGCCCTGGTTATTGGACCTGAACAGCGGTGTCACAGTGTGCATGGCAGGACAGACAGTGACCCTGACTCATGTTTCTGGGTGTCATTTTCCTATGGTCTAGGTTGCTTCCAGCTCCTAAACACTTACCCTCCTGAAATCTCATTCTACAGCACTGCTACTATGATGGGTATTTATTATGTCTGTTTTCTTTCCTCTGATCAGGACCTGCAGTCCCCAGCTTGGCTTTAACCTTTCAGATGGAGTGAAGAGAAACAGCTTTTTGGCCAGAAGCAACTAAATACCAAGACAGTAGAGGGACTGCTCACAAGGTGAGAAATTGCATGAAGCATGTCCAGGAAGGGAAGAGCTGAATGCTGAAAATTTGATCTGTACTGTGCTGCACGCTCCACGGTCACCCTGCCTCTTCTGCTCCCATACTATAGAGGTGCTGCTTTCAGGAAGATTTGTAGGCAGGGTATGACAAAGACAAAATACACCCCTGGGGTATCTAGACTCTGTCCAAAATGAAATCAAATCCTGTGTATTTTTCAGCAAAGACTACACTTAGACTGTTAAAAGACATAACTAACCAAAGTGTGGCTTTTTCTTCCTTTCACATGGACAGTATTTTTTAATGTTTTATTGGTCACTTTGCTGCTTTGAGGTGCTCTTGAGTACCTTTATTTGTACTACAAATGTTTTTCATCCCTGAGTGTTGTAAACAAAACTTTGGGAATTGGTATAACCTGTGTGGTAGTGCCTTCCAAAATCTGCAGATCACTTGAAACAAAACCTGCTGCATGACCTCATATTCCATCTTAACTCTGAGTGGTTCCATCCAGTTCATCCACGTACCTCACGCTCCAGCATGCATTTCCAAGGTGTGTTCTCCAAATGAGTACAACCAGTGAAAAATCAGGAGTCTCTAAATGTTTCAGTCTAAAGGTTCATTTCCATGCTTAATTAATAAAACCATTTATCTTTCCACTCACTTGCCTATCTGTTCTGTAGACAAAATCTAGATACAATTTGCTGTAGAATATGTAGGGCTTTCTTTTTAAGGAAGAGAGCTATGACTGGAAAGAAGAGGGAAAATAGTCCACTGGGCACCTACTTGGGTGGATGTTCCAGTGGTGGTGGCTGTTTCCTTCCTTGATTAAGCATGAGAATGTTGGCAGAAGAGCAGTGGTTCACAGGCAGCAGGAAGAGAAGCAGCTACAGTGGAGGTTGTTGAGGAGAGCAGTTGTGATGTTCTTCTAACCTTGCTACACGTGGGAACTTTGAGGGCAAGCAAGTGACAGGTCTTGCCCTTTAGGGCTGTAACTTTATGACAGAATACCCCCTTTGCAATCTGTGCCATAGTGGCCACCCATTCTTGAGTCACATTCCATTCCTACACTCCTTGGTTTCTGTGCCCTCTGCCCTGAGAAGATACTGAGGGGCTGTCTCCTGTGCTGTCAGCTCATGGTGCAGCAGATCTTGGTGGCCTCCCTGTTTGGGCTTCTCCCTCAGACAAGCAGGAAGTTATTCATTGCTAGTTCCTCTGTTCACTCCAGCAGGTGACAGGACCATGGGCGACATGCAGAACGGCAGCCATCATCAGGAAAGTCCTGTGGGAGCTGAACCGCATCTGTGTTCCCCCAGGAAGCTCACAGGAGATACCTTGCAGGACACCGATCAAAGACAAGACTGCAAGCAGGAGTTGGAGGTGGAAAGTGAGATGGAGACATCTTTTGCAAAGAGACAGGGAATGGTAACTCCCTATGGGATGGAAATCTGGGAGTGCGAGGACAGCAGTAGAGGCCATGTCAGCAAGGTTTTCCTTGCTGGGGACAAGCCCAACCCACCCATGTGTGGGACTGGTACCATTTGGATTCAGCAGGTGGGAGAGAAAACCTATGAGTGTCCCGAATGTGGGAAGAGCTTCAGCCGGAGTTCTTATCTGAGCCAACACCAGAGGATCCACCTGGCAGAGAAACCCTTCAGCTGCTCTGAATGTGGGAAGAGTTTCACCCGCAACTCGGACCTGATCAAACATCAGCGGATCCACACCGGTGAGAAGCCCTACCAGTGCAACGAGTGCAAGAAGACCTTCAGCCAGAGGTCCAACGTGATCAGGCACCAGCGGACCCACACGGGAGAGAGACACTACCTGTGCAACGAGTGCGGGAAGAGCTTCAGCCAGAACTCGCATCTCATCGTCCACCAGCGCAGCCACAAGGGTGAGAAACCCTTTAATTGCCTCCGGTGTGAGAAAAGCTTCAGTGACCGTTCCTCCCTGATCATACACCGGAGAGTCCACACCGGAGAGAAGCCCCACAAATGCCAAGAGTGCGGGAAGTGTTTCCGGGACAGCTCGGCCATCATTCGGCATCAGAGGATTCACACGGGAGAGAAACCGTACGAGTGCACCGAGTGTGGGAAAACCTTCCGGCAGAGCTCCTCGCTGGTGACCCACACACGGACACACACGGGCGAGAAGCCCTACAAGTGCCCCGTGTGCAGGAAGGGCTTCAGCCAGAGCTCGGCACTCACCACTCACCGCCGGATCCACGGTGGAAAGGGCCTACCCATGTACCACGGTGGCCTCCTGCCTAACCCCTACCAGTGCACCGAGTGCGGCCGGAGGTGCAGCAACCACTCCACCCTGGCCAAGCACCAGAGCACACACGCCGAGGAGCGGCCCTTCATCTGCGTGGAGTGCGGGGACAGCTTCCGGCGGAGCTCGGCTCTCAACGTCCACCTGCGGATCCACCGCGGGGAGAGACCCTACAAGTGCGAGGAGTGCGGAAAAACGTTCAGGCACAGCTCAGCCCTTGGTGCCCACCTGAGGATCCACGCAGGAACCAAGCCCTACGAGTGCGTCGAGTGTGGGAAAAGCTTCCGGAAAAGCTCAACACTTAAAGTGCATTTGAAAATCCATGTGGCCAAGAAACCCTATAAAAGCGTGGTGGGTAGAAGAGTGCTCGCTTTCCGCTCACTTCTGCCATAAGCCTGGAGTGGGTGTTCAGAGCAGGAAACTAAAGCAGTGTTGGGGCTACCTTAAAAAGGTGAGTAATGAGGACCACGGTGTGGAGAGACTGACTGGAGACACGGTGTCTCTGGTGTTAGGGCTGGGTGCTAAACCCCAGTGGCACAAGAACCATTAGGAGGTCTGGAAACAGGGAGTTAGTCCTAAGAGCTGAGTGCTGGTGGTTTAGGAAGAGTGCCAGGAACGTGAGGAATGAGCACCAGCTTCAGGGTAAATTGGACTGAGAATATGTGGTAGAATAACAGCTGGGAGAATTGGGCTTGTAAAATACAACAGAAGTGAAGATCATAATAACATGTTTCAGGTTGGTTCTGGCTCAAAACTTTAGCTTGTTAGACACTGTAGTAGTCTTAGGAACTGAACTCTCTTATTATTACCTTCCCTTATTTTTCATGAATATAGTAAGTTTACCCAGTGTTTGACAAGGCATTTTCAAATCTTTTGAGTCTGAGACTTTGGAGCTGAACTTGTCTATTTTGTCTTTTCCAAATCTTACGTGGGACAATGAGTTCCTACCTCATGATAGGTGAGTATGTACCCAGAAAACATGGATGTGGAAGTGTTTCCAGTTGAAAAGCAGACCATTAATAGTCTGTGACAGCTTCTCTCAGATTTCTTCTTGCTGATTTGAAACTCCTTCCACTTGAGACATCAATGAAACATGGACAAAAATGTTGCCTTTTTTATTTAACCAAAAACCAAGATTTTCCCCCTAGATGTCCTAGTCTAAAATGTCATGTGATGAGTTCTTACTGCTGGTCTGGAGACTGACTGCAGTTCTGTAGTCCTTTTTATGCTACTCTTCTTTAGCTCACCATTGTTTGAAAAGCATTAACATATAAAGTTCAGCATCGAACAGTTAGGAACGACTATATTTGCATTTATTACTATGCCAACGACTGTATATTACATAAACCTGTATTGCAATGTTTTGTTACTACGTGTTTCCATCCTGAATAAAACCTTTCACTCTCTCCTGTGTACAGTCCAGTTTTCTGTCTCTGCCTGTGATGGAAGGTGGGAAGGGGTGGGGTGAGCACCAGGCGGGGTTTGGCGAGGCGGGATCCTCGGGCAGCGCGATGGGAGCGGGGGAGGGAGGACGGGGCGGCCCCGCGGGCTGTGCGGTCCTTCCTGCGCGTCACGGGAAGGGGCGGGAGCGGCTCCGGCGCCCGGTTCGAACGGAGCGGGATGGAGAGCAGGATGGAGGGAGGGATGGAGAGCGGGGCGGCGGCGGCAGCGGGCCCTGCGTGCGGCCGGTTCCCGTTCCCATACACGCCGTACCGCATCCAGGAGCAGTTCATGGAGGCGCTGTACGGCGCGCTGGAGGCCGGCCGGGTCGGCATCTTCGAGAGCCCCACGGGCACGGTGAGGCGGGGCGGGGGCCGGGGCTGTGCCCGGCGGGGCACGGCTGCGGGGTGGCGGGGGTCTATGTCTGTGACAGCAGCGCTCCCTCACCCTGTTGGCTTCCCACGGCAGGGAAAGTCCCTGAGCCTCATCTGCGGGGCCCTCTCGTGGCTCCGGGACTTGGAGGAGAAGAAGCGGCAGGAGGAGGCGCGGCTCCTGGAGGGGCTGAGCCCGGCGGAGCCGGGACACGCAGGAAGCACCGACGCGGCCGGGGAACCGGACTGGGTGACGGCGTTCGTGCAGAGGAAGGAGGAGCGGGACAAGGTGGACAGGCTAAAGGTTGGGAAACGCTCGTCTGTAGGGGATGGGTGAGATAACGAGGAAGGGATTGGGAAGGCTGGTATCACAGAATGGCTGGGGCTGGAGGGGACCACTGGAGGGGACCACCGCTGGTCCATCTGGACCAGCCTCCCGGCTCCAGAGCCCCTGGAGCAGGATTGTGTCCAGACGGCTTTTTAATACCTTCAGGGAAGGAGACTCCACAGCCTCCGGGCAAACTGTTACTGTATCCCGGCTGATGAGTGGAAAAACACGTGAGGCAAATTTGGTGGTGGTCTGTCTGTCACAGGACTTTGTTTCCATGAGGAGGGATGAGGCATTGCCCTGCGGGTTGCTTAAGACAGGAAACAATATTGCTTTGAACAGAGCAACACGCAGTAGGTGCTCGAGGAGAACAGGACTGTGTACTAACAATTTCAATGTTAATTTTTCTCTACACCCAGAGCTTAGTGATACCAAGGGTTGAGGACTAAATACACTTCCCTCTCCCTTTATTGTAGGAAGAGCAGATCAGGAGGAAAAAGCGAGAAGATCGTCTCGAGAAAATTCGCAATAACGTGCAGTTAAAATATGCAGCAAAGAGGAAGGTGAGTTATTCCACAGAGATTAGAACTTTCTGTTTTGGTTACATTGAGTTTTGTTCATACTTGTTTATGTCTTTAACTTCACCCTGCCTTTCTGAGGAGCTTTTTGTATTCAGATGCTGAAATTTGCCATCCAAAATTTTTGGTTAGATTTTCTTTTAGAAGTACAGATGTGAAAAACAATTTGTGCATCAGTAGTTTCCTCTGGGTGTGTTTGTGTGTGGGTGGAAATGATGTGTGTTTTGATGACCTCTGGCCCTCTGCTTCTCTTTAAAAGTTTTAATACTTAGATTTTTTTTTGAAAGCTCTCTGTTTTATGAGCATGTATGAGCTCTCTGTACTTCTGGAATAAAAACTGTCATTAAATTTATGGTCATGGGAACAGAATACCACCCAAAGGAAGCCAGGTCAGGTGTTGGTTGTACTTCAGTCACCACTAGGGAACAATTGTTTTGTTTACTTCCACAGTAAACATGATTGTGTTGTTCAGAAATGTTTCTTTTCTGCATGCAAAATGTTCTCAGATATATTTTTCTGTAATTTAGATTAATGAACTGGCCTCAGTACTCTTAGCTCTGAGAGGTTTTTGATGGTACAAGTGGAACTTCCCAGAAATACACATTTCAAGTCCCCAAATAGGCAGATTTATGAGGCTGCCAGGCTGTTAGTTTCTAGTGTGCTCCATCTCAAGTGTTGTGTAATGTTTTGGTCAACTCCTGTCAAAGGGATGTGACAGAAATAGCGAAGAATGGCAAATAAAAAAGAAGTGGAACAAAGACCTTGTCTTTTTTAAGAGGATGAAGAGCCTGTGAAATGAGAAGCATGATAAAAAGCAAGAAAGTAGATGAGAGAAATATTATAGAGATTTGGAAAAGCAATTAATCTTCTGTGTATGGCTTACCAACTGCATTTCTTTATAATGCCATGGTAATAAAACACTCCCTGACATTGGAAGATACGGTTTTCAGATTGAAAAACAAACTTTATCAGGACACAAAGTTAACCAAGAAACTGTTCTTCAACAGCTTAATGCAATTTTTGTTGAAGGCTAGACCTGTGTTAGAATAACAATCACATAACTGGAGAAAAAAGCAGCAAGAGAAGTCTTGTGCTCTGTGTTCTAAAACAGATGCTGAGTTAATCCTAGTTTTGAATTAAGTGTACATGGAGTGTTTGATTATATCCTTATATGTTTGCTTGGGTTTATTTACGCACTTTTTTTCTCAGGCAGATTTGGGCCACTTTAAGCAACTAATACTTACATGAATGTTTCATTGAGGATCTATTAGTTCAGCAGACCTTTGGCATAGAAGTTTCTTTATGTTTCCCTTTTGTAACTGTCTGTGTGGGCAAGTCTTTGATTGTTGGTAACAGCTGCATTCTGTGGGGCTGAACAGCTTCAGACCCCTTTGGTGCACGTGCTTGTCCTGCTGCGGGTTTACCCAGCAAGTCATTCCCTGTGCTGTGTGTGAGGGACTGCTGTCTTCTGACCTGTCTGTGCCATAAAGTGATGCTTGTGCTGCCTCTCTTTTTATATGAGAAATACTGCACTCCTGTGTTCCTCTCAGAGATCCGAGGAGGAGGAGACAAAGCGCCTTCTTCAACTCAGCAAGGAGGCTCTGTCACAGGAAGCTGGAGCAGATGTTCTGGACCAGCTGGATCACAATGAGGAGGAGCTGATTCTTGCTGAATATGAGAGTGATGAAGAAAAGAAAGTGGTATCTGGGTAAGGACAGGGACTGAGGGGGTTCCATGCCAAAGAAACATTTTCTGTATAGTTTTCGGCTTGCTTGGATTAAAGAGATGTCACCTGTAATGGTGCAGATTTTATTCAAAAGAGTTTCTCATCTTTTCAGACTGTGTAAGGTAGTGGTTGTTCTGGGGTTTTGTTTAATTGGTTGTTTGTTTTTTTAAGCTTTTCTTAGATTGATCAGAGTGACCTGAAATGCTTTCTGAGAAAGTGCATCTTAAAATGCTTGGCAGTGTCCTGCCTTTAACCATGCCCAGTTTCCCAAAAAGTGCCTCTGGATGCTGAGCGAATGACTCGAGATTAAGTTCCTTGCATTGGAAAAGCATAATGAAACTCAGGACATCAGAGGAAGCTGTCAGTCCTGCAGATTAGCACTGGCATCTTTTGATACTCTAAAGGGAGAGACATTCACATTTCCAAAGACAGAGCTTCAACATGAAAATCTCATGCATACTTTTCTCTCTCATACATTTGGTTTATGCCGAAAGCCAGAAGTCATACTTCAGCACAAAAAGTCAAATGTGTTTAAAATACAAATTTACTAATTAGTATCTAGACAGATCCTTCTGCCTTAGAAATTGAAAAACACTTAACTCCTTCATTTATATGTAGTTTATCAAACATTAAACTGCTGTTGCCTTTGAGGAACTCTGTGGCAGCTGAGGGCTTTCCTGAAGCTTTTCTTTATGCAATAGCTGGAGGGTGGTAAATTGCCTCTACAGGGAAAGCTTTACACAAATAAATAGAAAAATAAGCTCACCAAAGAATGGTATAGCAGTGATTAGCTTATGCCTGGGGTTTAGAAGCCCCAGAATCAAAAGAAAAAAACCTCTTGAATTTGCAAAAGGCAGAGCCCTAAAGACATTTTCCTTTTAAAGAGCAAAGCTCGATTGTGTGCGCTTACACTTTTCTTAAAAAGTTGATTTTTCTTTTACCACCTGGGTTAAGATCTGAGGCTTTTTTTGAGGTGACTTAACCAGCTCTCTCTTTTGAGACCTCTCTCTTGTAGTAGAGCATAATTTGATTCTTACTGCCACTGATCTGCTGAAAGGGAACTGTTTGAGCTTTCTCTTTCTTAGGCTGGAAGAAGATGATGATGATTTGGAAGAGGAGCATGTGACTAAGGTGAGATGAGGAAAGTAAGTAGTGACATTTCATAAAATAGTGTAGGAGTGAGCAGAATTATGGCTTCCTTGCACCTTTCCAACAGTCATGTGGTACAGAAGGGTTTAGGAACTAACACACAAGAACTGCCAAGTTTGTTGATAGTGACAACTAGTTCTGCTGTGCTCATCTCCTTCTGGACTACACTGGCTGCCTAAGCAACTTGCTCTGCTAGCACTGCTTAATTTTTGCTGTGTCTTGCTGTAAAAGCACACTGCAATAATAAATAGCATTTTATTACTCTCCAATGGTGAGTCCTTGTTTTTATAGAGATGTTGGAAAATTAAATGGAAACAAAGACAAATGCATAGGAGAAAACAAAGATGGGGCTTTTAGCCTCAACAGTTGTGGCACTCAAACTTGTGTTTTTGAAGGCTTGAGCAAGGTGAACCTTGTTGAAGTGCTTGGCTGCATCCTTGCAGGATTGGTTGTAGGTAGGGGATTGGCTTCCATGTTCTTCTTGTCTTCCCTTTGTTCTCTCTTGCTGCAGATTTACTACTGCAGCCGCACTCACTCCCAGCTCTCTCAGTTTGTGCGCGAGGTGCAGAAAAGTCCTTTTGGCAAAGACACGCGTCTGGTCTCCCTGGGATCCAGGCAGGTATGTGGTGTTGTTCTCCAGGGACCCAGAGGGCATGTTAACCTAGTGTGAAAGGCTTTGTGAGGAGGTATGTGGATCTGGTGCCACAGAAGGCACCTCGGGGATTGACTGAGTCTCCCACTGGAAAACTAAAGCAGTCGTGGGACTCAGCACAGATCTGTGTGATGTAGATTCTTCTGTGAACTCTCTTTTGGTCATTTACCCTTTGATGTAAATGCAAGGGTCTGTTTTACCTTTCCTGATGTGGAATATTACAGATGTCTGAGTCACTGAGAAGGCACTCCTCTTACTAGTACGTCTGGCAGCATTTTTTAGAAGCAATGGTGTAGCAGTGAGCCCTCTCAGTGCACCTTTCTTAATTTTTTTCTCCTTGCTAAGTTTTTATGGGTTTCGAGCATGTTTGTAGCAGTTAGTATGCACACTGTGTGACTGGTAGACTTTTCCATTTTGGAATCTGGCCTAAGATTGCTTTAAAGAAGCAATGAGAGCATGGGGCTCTCAGTTCAGAGTTGACCCCCTTCCTCTTCCTCTCTTTGCACATCCCAGAACCTCTGTGTGAATGAGGAGGTGCGACGCTTGGGTGCTCTCCAGCTCATCAACGACCGCTGCATGGAGATGCAAAAGAACAAACATGGTAGGAAGACTTTCAGCCTGGGGAAGCACTTACTGATAAAGCTGCTTTAAGAACCTGGAGACAGTGGGCACTGCCAATCAGTTCTGGAAAGAGAGTGTTAGGAGCTTGGAAATGACAAGTTGGAGGAGCAGAGCTAGAGATCCCCAGCACTTTTACTTTTCTTGATCTCCATGCTAGGATGCTGAGATCTGGATGTATTTTCTCAGTGTGTTAAGTTGGTCAGGAGTTCTGGTACGGAAGGGTACTTGCGTTTGTTAACTCCACACTAGAAATGTTGGAAAATGTCACGTGGCTAAATCTAACTGGCAAGAGTAGTGTTCACTGTGGAGATGGAAATGTTAAAGCTGAATAATTTTTAAATAAGTGATAGGTGAAAAATACATGACAGAGCTTGCTTTGAAATCCATGAAGTTCTGCATCGTGGTTGTTTTAGGCTGTTGTGTGTCGCTCATGGCTTTCTTGTGATTTCTGCTGCTAGAAAAGAAGAGCGATGAAGAGAATGAAGGGAAGAAGAGACGTGTGAGCCGTGCCGTGTGCCCATTTTATTCCTATGAACAAATGCAGTTTCTCCGCGATGAAGTTCTAGTGGAAGTGAAGGATATTGAGCAGTTGGTGTCTTTGGGAAGGGAAACCAAAGCCTGCCCATACTATGGGAGTCGATATGCCATTCCTGCTGCTCAGGTAAGGTGTACAGTTTTAGCAGAATTAATGCCAGACGCTCTAAAAATAAACCAGTTGCCTGCTCCCTTCAGTGCTGTTGCTCAATAATGTGGGAGTCTGTAAACAGGCTGTGTTTCTGTCAGCTGTAGTTTTGCTGAGAAAGCAAAGGAAAATGAGAATTCCCATCAGAAGTTAATAAGGAGGCTGTGAGTATATCTCAGCATTCTGAAGTATTTGAAAGGTTCAGTAACTGTGAGGCAATACAGACACATGGGTGTGCTCTTAGCTCTTCTTCCTTGCTTGGTTCTCTCTCACAAGACGTGCTTTCAGTGCTCCAGAGGAGATTTGGAAGGTAACCTGAGCCGATATGCAATTGTAGCATAATCATTTCTCTTCAGCTTACATCCCAGTGGCCCTCTCAAGCATGTGCTCCTGTCTCTCTTCCTGCCTTTCCCATAATAAGTCACTTGGCTGAACTCTGCGAGGCCCTCTGAGACGGGCCTTTAATGAGTGGTTGGGGAGTGCCGTAAGTCTGCAAGGATGAGAGCTGGAATCAGGGCAGTGTGTGCTTCTCCTGTAGTTGGTGGTGCTGCCTTACCAGATGCTCTTGCATGAGCCTACCAGAAGCGCTGCTGGGATCAAGCTGAAGGACCAGGTCGTAATCATTGACGAGGCCCACAACCTCATAGACACCATCACCTGTATCCACAGTGCGGAGGTCAGCGGCTCTCAGGTGAGTCAATGGAGAGGGAGCTCTGCATCCAGCAGACTGCCCTTTCTTCACTCCTTGGTAACAACAGCTCCTTCTTTCTGTTTGTGCAGCTTTGCTGTGCCCACTCCCAGCTGTCCCAGTACATGGAGCGATACAGGTGAGGATCTTGGGGCAAAACTGCACAGCAGTGGCAGGCAGTGTGGATGCCATGGCTTGTCCCATGGCTGCAGAGTCTTTCTTGCTTTTCCCTGGTGGAAAGTTACTGCATTAATAGTTCTGCAGATGAAAAGGCCCTTGCTTCATTATTTTTGTCTAGAATCTGTCTAAGTCAGACTCCTGGGGCTGGTATTAAGCAGTGAGAAGGGGATACCCTGAGGATTATGGCTTTCCCTTATACTCTGTTCCTTTCCAAATATCTCCCTCTAGTCGCTTCTACTTTGTGATGCAGAGTTTTAAAAGATTCAGTCTTTTATGTCTCTCCTGGACCTTAGTCTTTCATGTGCTGATTGGCATTATGGTAGAGGCAGTAAGCTCTGAGGAGGAGGAAGCTGTATGTGGGTTTTGGCTCTGCATCTTGTCATCCCTTCAGTGGTTGGTTATTGTGCTCAGTGCTTTGAATAACTTCGAATTTGTAGAGCATTATTGCAACAGGGACTTGAGGCATCACTGCCACTGTAATAACAAACTGTAACTAATGTGTGAGGAGAAGGGCAGTGGTAGGAACAGAGTGGGATATGAGGGTGAGTGTATTGAGGTGACCTTGGGCAGGATGTCCAGAGGACTATGCCCTGTCACAAATAGGGAGAGTGAGCCTGGGAGAAATCATTCTTGGTTCCTGTCTCTCCAAAATGAAGAAGAGTTCAGGTACTTGTTTCTGCAGCTGAGCTGCTTGTTTTACTGCCTGAAGTTGTTTTGGGGCCTAATATGCGTCTCATTTTTCATAGGAAACGTTTGAAGGCAAAGAACTTGATGTACATTAAGCAGATCCTGTATTTACTGGAGCGGTTTGTGGCCATGCTGGGAGGTAAGGAAACCAGTTCTACATCCAGGGATACTGATGGACTCTGAGCTAGTTAGTGCTTCTTCAGGACACTGTTCCCTTTCCCACTCGGCAGAGACTGTGGGGAAGTGTTGCTCACGTATAGGTTCAGAAGCCAGTAATTTTATTTCTTAGACTGGTTTGTAAGGTGGGGAAGTTGACTGGTGTCTATTTGACCCCTTCTCTTTGTTTCATTAGCTGAAGATCAGCAGATGACATTTTAAGTTGTAGAGGCAGTTTTCTTCTCTTTCTATGTGGTTTTCAGATCTGACTTGCGTGGGGATGGTCTAAGATTCCAAGTGAGCAATACAGCAGATGTATGACAGTGCAGCACAAGAGCTGTGTGGCATAAATCTCCTGGGTCATCTGGTAGCCAGGCCTCTACACGTGTCAGCATGCCTCTGCAGAATGAATCTTTCTTGAGTGGTGCCTTTCCTTTGCGAAAAAATTACCATTTTGCTGTGATTTTAGATCCACAGGAATTCACAGAGCTCTTTTTCTCTAATAATTTGCTTGCTGGACCTCAGCGTGTCTTGAGGGGAGAGCCTGTCCTAAGTTCATGAAGACCTTCTTCTATGCCCTGGAGAAATGCAGCCCTTTGGGGCAGGGGGCTGGTGATGCTCTCTGCCTTTCTCTCAGATGTTACTTCTCTTCCTGCTCTGTCCTGCCACTCTTCTCTTCCCCACACTCAGTGAAGTGCTTTCATTAGAAAATGCAGCCTCTGTGCAGCTTCATGACTGAGGCTGCAAATGTGGGATGTGAGGTGGATGTTAAACACTAGGACATAAAACGCAGCGAGTGGCAGCAGTTAATCCTGTTCTGGTTGTTGGGGTCTGGGCATGGAGGTGTCCTCAGGTTTTCCCCTCTTCCCAATCACCTGCCAGCCTCTGTGCCTCCCAGCTCCCTGCTGCTGCATTGAGGAAGGATGCATTGCAGTCCCTGTCCCTTTACCTTTGCAGCATGATGACTACACAGTGTGTGAGCACTTCTGAGCACCCACCCTACCTGCTGCTTCCTACCACAGAAGGAATGTAGGTGGTGCTTCTTAGGATGCTGCAGCACGCTTGTCCTACAGTGTAGGGCTACACTGCAGGGCAAATTAAAACTGAGTGGGAGCTGATGTTTTGTCTGTATAGCTACATTTTGCAGAGGTGTAGTTATTTCTTGCGTTTTGTCATGGTGCAGTGTACCTATCAGCTTAATCGTTAGTTTCTTGCTTAATTTTGAGACAGACCCATTGAAAGCCTTCCTTGAATTGGTTTCATGTTTTACAGGTAATGTGAATCAGAATCCTGGCTGTCAGACAGTTTCCCAAACAGGTAAGACTGGAGGGAATGCCTGGTGTGTGCAGCTGTCAGTCTGTGGGTGTGGGCAGTAAGGGGCTGCAGGCCCAGCACTAATAAAGTTTTTTCTCCTTTTCCCCCTTTTCTTTCAGGGACAGTGCTAAAATCCATCAATGACTTTCTATTTCAAAGCCAGATTGACAATATAAACCTCTTCAAGGTAATGCAAATGTTGTCTGCTGAGGCACAGGTGGTGGTGACTTGTTCGAGGTTGTTGGGGAGTGCGTGTGAGAGTTGGAAGCAGAGCCAAGGCCCACATGGCAGATTCTCCCCATCTCCCCAGTGTAGAGGTCTCTTCTGCTGCAGTCTGGGTAAAAGTGCACTGAGGCTGGATAGGTGCTCTTGGAGTAGAGGGAAGCAAGTGATTAAGCATGTACAAGTGCAGAAGCTGGTCAGGAATCAAGGACAGCAGGATGGGAGAAGAGATACTGACTGCCAGTTCATTTTTCTGTCTTCCTCCAACAGGTTCAGCGTTACTGTGAGAAGAGCCTCATCAGCAGGAAGGTACTTGCCCCCGAGGTTTTATGGTCAGCAGTGTTCCAATGCTGTTTCATATGTGGAATGTGAAGTGGAAGATGCAGCAGCTGGGATGGGAGCCTGTCTTCTCCACCCTGCTCTGCAAACAAAATGATTCCTGCAAAAAGCACTATATGTGCAGATTAACTTTTGCTTTTCCAGCAAAGAAACATACAATGTTGTGTACGATGGTATTCCAGTGGGTGCTAATTCTGTGATGCTTGGCCTCAAACCTGCCAGCTGGGTAGACTTGTGCTGAAGGAACAAGCATCAGAGACTTGTTTTGGTTTTGATTCAGTAGCTGTAGGAAGGTAGTGGAAGCTCTGGGCTGTGCTGATAGATTCTAATCAGGCTGGTTTGTGAACACCTACTAAGGAACTTTATCTGTGGCAGACCAGCAAACCTGCTTTTATCTTGTCTGATTCCTACTGTTGGTATCTTAGTGTATGTGCCTTTTGTTTGGCAGCTTTTTGGGTTTGTGGAGCGATATGGAGGCCCTGCCGCAGCTGTGAAAAACAACAAGGAGAACCAGAAGATGGCTGGTTTGCAGAACTTTCTCCTGACCCTTCAGCAGGGATCTGATAAGGAGGGTGAGTTCAGACATCCTCCCCTTCGGGCACAGTGGGGATGTGGAACCTCCATCAATCTGCATGAGGAAAGGTGGGAGGCAGATTTGAAGAATGAGAGACTGCAGGAGGTGTCCTGCATAGGTGTTTTTTAACAAGTTGACCTAGGCAACTATACATTTGATTAGAAGGTCTCCTGAGGTCCCTTCCAACCTGAATGATGATGTGAGTCCATATTCACACTGCACACACTCAAGCTTTGCACTGCTGTGACCTGCTAGCTCCGGGTCCAGAGCTACTGTGTGTAGCTCTGCTTAGTGGTGCCGACCACAAAAAACAGATCTTTTTTTTTTCTTTCTTAGCAATGAGACAGAATTCAGATTTTCCCCTTTTCTGGGTCTTTTTTCTCTGCCTGCACATGTAGACCAGGTGTCATGTTTCTATAGAACACACTTCATGTTTAATCCCTCTCTTTAGAAGTATGGCCTAAATTGCCTGCCTCTCCTTTTCTTTTTGGGCCAGCAGGTACCCCCCAGAGCCCTCCTGTGGAGGGTGAGAACGACCAGCTCCGAGCTGCCTCTCCACTGATGCAGATTGAAGGATTTCTGTCAGCCCTCACAAATGCAAACCAAGATGGCAGAGTCATTCTCAACAGACAAGGTACTGGAAAAGGCGAGCTGGGGAGAGGTGGCATGAGTCAGTCACAAGCAGGGTGCTTCACTGGCAGTGAGGGAGGAGATCTGGAGTCTGGGAGGAGCCTGCAACAATATTTCTGTGCCATATGTGATGCAGGCTGGCAGGCTGGGTCTGTCTGAGGATGCTCATGACCCCAAAGGAATTCTTAACTAAGGGCATTGGGGCCAGGGTTTGCAGATCTCTGCTCCCACTTTGGATGTTAGTTTTCATCCTGCAATTTACTGCACCTCTTCTACAGCTCCAGGGAGATTAGGAAGCAGAAGGTAACTTCCAGGTTGGCATTGCTGCCTCTGTCAGCGTTGAATAGCAAGTCCTTGCTTTGAGAAGTGAGGACCTGCCAGAGTGCCCAGGGCACAGGGGAGAATCGTTTATATATCCCTGTGTGTGTGTACCCACAGCTAACTCCTGATGCTCCTTCTCTCCTTTTCCAAGGCACAGTTGGTCAGAGCAGTCTCAAATTCCTCCTGCTGAATCCAGCTGTCCACTTTGCCAAGGTGGTGGAAGAATGCCGTGCTGTAATCATTGCTGGAGGCACCATGCAGCCGGTGAGGAAATCAGGGTGCTGTACTGGGATCTCAGGAGGTGCTGTCTGCAATCAGGCATGGCAAGAGAGCAGCTAAGCCCCACTGGAATGTGCTGCTCTTCTTGGTCCCCGTGATGTGTGTGGGAAAATACCTCTCCTACCTGCCCTTCTATCTCCCTGGTATGGGTTCCCTGCATGAGGTGTCACTGCCTATTTATGGATAAAGATGTGGGTGCAAGGGCAGGATTGCCCTCGTCAGCCTTTCTTGTCCTCAAGACGATACAGGCCGAGCTCTTGGTAGTTTGGAACCAGCATGGGTAGCAGTTGGAGGACTTTGTGATACCATCTGTCCTTCTGCAGGGGACATGGAGCCCACAGGGACCATCCCGTAGGGATTCAGGAAAATCAGTCCCGATGTGCGCGGGCAGGGGGCGCTGCCGCTTCTCCGGCGGGCCGGGAGCACGGGCTGGGCTGGGGGCTGTCTGTGTTCGGCATTCCCTGTCCCCGATGTGCTCATCCCGGAGGGATCTGGCCGACGCTCCCTCGACACTGGTGCTCGAGGAGCAGTACAGGTGCCTCTGGTGTGGTGTCTTTTGGGCCACTGGTACTTTACATGTGGCTTGTGGTTCGTAGGTGGCTGATTTCCGAGAGCAGCTGCTGTCCTGTGCTGGTGTGGACCCTGCACGTGTCGTGGAGTTCTCTTGTGGTGAGTGTGCCAGGCTGGCGGGGGGATCATCAGCTGCAAGTGCTGCAGTCTGCCTTTGGTGCAGTTTTGTCAGGCAAAGGTGTGCAAGTTCCCTTCCACTCTGAGCTTCCTCAGTGCCAGTACTGGCAGGCAGTGTGCCATGCCTTCTTCCTAGGGGCTCAGGGAATGGAAGTAGAGCAGCTGAGTGACTTAAGCACTTTGGCTTAGCCAGGAAAACATTTGCCTCTGTCATGCAGGTAAAGCTCTTCAGCTCGTGGGGTTTGTGCCAACAGCAGTGATGTTGACTCTCACTACTTGTTTTTGGCTCCAGGACATGTGATTCCTCCAGAAAACATCTTACCCATAATCCTCTGCAATGGTCCTTCCAACCAGCAGCTGGAATTCACCTACCAGACAAGAGACCTGCCCCAGATGGTCAGTCTGCCCTTTGTTCCCTTCCTTTGGATCCCTTTTTTGCTTCACATGCTTATGTTTCATAGGACAGTACGCTCTCTGTTTGAAAGGTGGGCTGACCAAAAGCCACAGCAAGGGAAATCCATAAGATTTGGGGCAGGTGTGTTGCCAGGTGATTGAGAAAGAGCAATAGCAAAAGGGATTTTGAGCTGCTTCCTCAGAGGTAGCTTTTGGAGATGAGTTATACAGCAACTTCTGTTTGGCTGTACGGAGATCCTGCAGTTGTGTGCTGGGCATCAGGAGGAGGTTTCTGACCGTGTGTCACAGTTTGAAGGGCTCAGTGACAGTGGAGCAGGGCAGCCCTGCAAAATGCAGCCCAAACCACGGGGGCAGCAGCAGGTGTTTTGGCACTTCTATCTTCTTCCTGTGGCAGGCCAGTAAACACCCAAGGCCAGACAGTAAGTCTGCTCTGCCCCTGCTGAATCTCCACCAGATGTGCTAACTAGCTCTCAGCATCTATTCTGGTGTGACAGCTCCCATCTACTGAGGCAAACCCTCCTTTCCTGAGTGACCAGTGCTCCACAGCACTAACAGAAACCCCAGGTTAGGGAAAAAGGCCGATCAGTGAAGAACTTCTTTGTGATGCTCAGCTCCCCTAGAGAGTTCTCTTAGACTTGGCATATTTCCCACATTTTTTCCTCCCCTAAGGCACGTCACAGGGAAAGTGTGATCCTGGGATTGAGCACAGAACTGGAGCAGCATTAGCTGGAGCTCCTGCCAGCTGCAATATGCTCTTATCTCTCTTGCAGATGGATGAGACAGGTCGGATCCTCTGCAACCTGTGCAACGTGATTCCAGGAGGTGTGGTGTGCTTCTTCCCCTCCTATGAATATGAGAAGCAGGTGTATGCACACTGGGAGAAGACAGGGCTGCTCACCCGCCTGGCAACTAAGAAGAAGGTGATTGTGCAGCCGGGGCAGTTGGTACTTTACATGGAGGTTTCAAAAATCAATTACATATGCACTACAGGCCTCTCTCTTCAAGTTGTTCTCATACCCTGCACAGTAGAGCAGAGAGGATGCTTATCTGGCTAATCCCTCCAGTTACAAATAAATGGTACTTCCCAGGTGGCTGATCACTGAGCTGGGATCTAAATTAGACTGAAATGCAGCCAGACGTTCTTTAAGTGCACGGTCTGTGTAGTGGCCATGGGGGGAGACAGTCTTCGCTTCCCATCACCAGCAGGCTTGTTCCTGTGTGGCTGGGGAGGCTGTTCAGATTGAGCTCTTACAGGGAATTTGTTTTTCCCAGGCTCAGTGTGTCCTTTGAGCACAGACCAGCACAACCAAGGGCTAGGCAGAGTGGGGCCACACTGCAGTTCATAGGAAAAATGGTGGTTTGCTTCCTGGTAGCTGTAACACAGATGAGAAGTGGAAGACCAACAGTGCTGACTCCTGCCAAAGGAGTGATGAAACACATCTAAGAGGGAGATCACTGCAAATATAAAAATCTTTGCAATGACTTTTCACAAGTATTTGAAGATCAGGCGTATTGAAGATCAAGCAGTTCAGGGTGAGGTGCAGGGATCTTTGATCACATGCCAGGGGGGTGAAAAAGTTACGTATACCCTGACTGTGACTTCTGTCTACCAAAAGCTAAATAACTTACCATGTGGATTAGAAGAGCACAGTCCCAGATATTTCACAGCCTTGGTGCCAGCATTCTGGCACGTGGATCTGCCTGTAGGTTTTTGTGGTGGAAGCATTATGCTTTGGCTTCTCCACGTGTTTGTACAGCTACTACTCCTCGTGCCTTTCAGGTGTGTCCTGTCAGGGTCCCAGTGCTCTGGCTGGTGCCTCCAAGGCTTTGTGCCACCATCACACAGTTTGTTCTGCCTTTCAGCTCTGATTTATTCTTGTTTGGCCTTTGCAGTCTCCAGCAAATTGGATATGCGTTAGCAAGGCAATTCGGTACAACTGCAGCAAGTGTGACTTTCAGCTGCCAAACCATAGCAGGGGAAGGCTCGAGTCCTGAGGTGGCTCTGGTGACTTCACACTGAGATTGTATATAAATAATGTAGGGAAAATTAATTTAAATCAAAGGAATAAATAGCTACTCTTCAATAAGTTAGTTTGGGCCTATATTTGTAACTGCCAGTTATTTTTCTACTGAAGGACTGATTTTGACTGGTAAAATTTTATAGTACTTCTTGCCAACCAAGAAAAGACACATCCTTTAGGTTCTTCACTGTCACAGAGAAGACAGATGTTGCACCTCTTGTTTACTAGGAAAACAACTTGTGATTTAGGCCAAGGTGCAGCATCGATCAAAATACAGCTTAATTAACTGCAGGGGCTTTCAGTAACTAATTAGGCATGCAAGAATAACATAAAGATATATTACTTTATTTATGCATTGCATAAAAAGCTGATTTATTCACTGGGCAAGTGAAGCTATCACTTGGAATTAATTAGTGATTCAAATTGATCAGTCCTGTCACTGTCCTCCAAGATCTTGGAGCTGGAAAGTCTCCTCACCCTGGAGGATCTTGATTCATAGGTGCAAGAGGTGCACACTGCTTTCCTGCCTCTCAGCTCTTGGATAACTTTTAACTTCTTGCAGAATTAAACAAGTCTGCCAAATCTGAAGGGGAACGTTGGAAGGGCAGGAGCAGCTTCTGCTCCCTTCATAGCCCAGCTGGAAAGTGAACATGCAGTGCGTTTCCCTGGTGGAGGGGAAAGGTGCTGGTTAAGTTGGTTTTTCAGGCAATTTGCCTTTCCCTGATCTCAGTTCCATATGCTGTTTAATGGCGTGAGAGTGAAATGATTTGCTTTCTTTAAAGTGTTTGCTTCCTGTTGTTGCAACTGACACACTGTGCCTGTGACAGATCTTTCAGGAGCCTAAGAAAGCCAACCAGGTGGAGCAGGTGCTGGTGGAATATGCCAAGTGCATAAAGGTAAGCTGAGCTGGCAGGCTGGTGGGAGTGTGGCATCCCAACTGGTGTGGGAGTGCTGCTAAAGAGGGCACTGCAGCTTTAACAAGAGGGCTCTAGCTCAGGTGAGGGAGTGTTTCTGAAGCACAGAAATCTTCCCAAATCTGGTTTAAGTTGATGGTCCCTCTCCTGCAGCGCTGCAGCCAGGCAGGAGGACAGATGACAGGGGCCCTGCTGCTTTCTGTAGTTGGAGGCAAAATGAGTGAAGGGATCAACTTCTCTGATGACCTGGGAAGGTAAGGTGACTGCTCCTTCTTGAGGGCTGAGCTCTGGCTTGTGGTGACTCCAAGCAGGATGGTCACGTCAGTACTTGCATAGATAGAAAATCCTGGGGAGCACATGACCTCAGATGACGCTTAAAGCAACAGGAGGGTCTGCTGGGTGGTCTAAACCTGCTTGTCCAGGCTACTTTTCCTGTGAATGATGCAGTTAGGCTTGCTGTGCTAGATAATCCCTTGTTCTGGCACCCTGAATCCCTCTGCAGCTCTGTTCAGAACAGGCTTGTCAGACTGCTGTGCTTTATTACCACCTTTGGTTATCAGGGCTGGCTGTCTTTTGGGGGTGCAGTGACCTCTAATTTATCGGTCTGTTGGCAAAGTGCTATAGGATGAGACATTAAGTATAATGCAGTCCCTTCCTTGCAGGTGTGTGATCATGGTGGGAATGCCTTACCCCAACATTAAATCTCCAGAGCTTCAGGAAAAAATGGCTTGGCTTGACAAAACAATGGTAACAGTGACACACCTCTGCCTGTTTCACTTCTGCTTTATAGGGTTAACTTTTCTCTCAGCACAGGCATGCAAGAGATGCCTTTGAAGGCTTTGTTTTGTTTTCTCTGAGCTTGCTGTTGTTTCCCAGTCTATGTGGTACCAAGAGCACAGCCTTCTCCAGGCAGCTCATGAACAGGTGGTGCCAAACACAGGGAAGAAGCTCAGTGGAGGGAAATACCATCAGGGCTCACTGGGAACTCTGAGTTCCGAAGGGAGCAAGGACCCTTTACCCGAGAGGAGGTGGCAGGGTGGTAGAAGCTGCTCGCCAGGATCACTTTTCTTGGGTCATTTGTCCTTTCTTACTGCTCACTGGATGTGCTGTTCCCGAGCAGCTGGGGACAGGATTTCTGCCTTCTAGGGGACCATGGGCTGGCTCTTTGTGAATGCTCAACGTAGTTTTCTGACTGCAGCCTTTCTTCTGTCCCTCCCTGCTCTCCACTTGGGGGTCTGCCTCGCCACCCGCTCACTCTGCAGGGGTAAAAGCATTTGCCTCACGTTGTCATTCAGACTCCCTAGTTTGATTTACATCTGCCTCATGTTCAGACTTGCCTATTTCTCCTTTCCAGCCCAGAGCTGCTGGCCAGGCACCTAGCAGAGTGCTGATTGAAAACCTGTGCATGAAGGCAGTAAACCAGTCGATAGGTAATTCATCCTTCCTTGGACAGGCTGGGGGGTACGAAATGTGACTGCACTGAAGGAGCAGGGTGGGAGAAAGGAAGCATTACCCAGTCGTCTGGGTAATCGTACTTAGAGATGATGGGAACATGAGCTTCCTTGTCTGAGAACAAACACTTGACTGGGCCATGTTTTGTTTTTATGCTCTGTACAGGCAGAGCCATCCGGCACCAGAAGGACTTTGCGAGCATCCTGCTCCTGGACCACAGATATGCACGCCCTGCCATCTTTAACAAACTGCCACAGTGGATCAGGGAGAGAACCCAGGTGAAACCTGCCTTTGGATCAGCATTTGCAGAATTAAGAAAGGTCAGAACTTCTATCTCATGTACTGCTCTCCAGACTGTTTCCCATTGTGCCCATCTTGACTTGTCTCAAGTCTTTACTTTAGAGTAAAGCCAGGGACAAACTGTCTGGTTTTGTGTGTTCCCAGTTCCATCGAGGGAAGTTGGATGCTTTGTGACGTGGCCCAGAGAACAGACGGTATTCACCTCTGTGAGTTACACCTCTGAAAAATGGGTGAAGCAACACAATCTGCTTTTGTATACCATGGACTTTGTAAATCTCTGCATTCTGCCTCCTTTGTGGATGTTTGCTGTTCAGTATCTGAGCATTATGATGGTGAGACAGCCTTCAGCACCATAACCGTGAGGGAAACTGGTTGTAGGTCTGAGGCAGGTGAAGGTAGTAGCAGCAGGCTTCTATTTGTTTACAGCTGTTAAGGTTTTATTTAAATTGATTAAATACTTTCAAAACATTAAGTATGGGGAGTATAATTATTTTAACTGAATACATCTGTTTTTTCCCATCAACCACTACATGTAGGAGGCCTGATGGTCAATGACAACATAGAGCTTTTCACAGGAATTGTAAACTAAGCAGGCCATTAGTTTGTGTCCTGTGGAATAACACACAGCTGGAGTGGTAAGACACAGGGCAGCTATGGGTAACATTTCTTATCCTCAGCTTTAAGCTGTCAGTAGATTCAAGGAACGGTTTATTCTTTCCAGGGGAATAAAGATATGGCCATAATATAGCACTTCTCCTTTGATCATGCTTAAGCACAGGGTTACTCTGTTCTTTCTGAAGTAACTTTTTTAGGTTAACATTCTTGGGGTTCTTTCCAAGGTTATAGGTCAGTGCTGGAGGGCAGCAATAACAACAGGGACAGCTACATCATCCCACAGCCATCCCCAGCTTGTTCTGTCATCCTGAGGAAGTTTCTTCCCAGGAGCTTCCTTTTCCTCTCTCCCAGTTTCAGCAGCTGGATGCTACCTCTCAAGGCTCTTCACAATGAAGAAAGTACTTATAATTATGACACAAGAGCTGTTACCCACTCCCTGTATGTTAATTAGCCCCACAGGGAAAGAAAGAACTGCCTATGAGAAACTTCCATTGTGAGTCTCCTGCCCCTTCAGAGGGTACAAACCCTGCACAAGCTCTGCCTTCACCCCAGTGAAAGAGGGAGAGGGGGCACCTGCTTCTAGCAGCTGGTGCCCTCCAGCTTGTGGCTGGTGGTGCTGGGCTGTAAGGCTGGTCCCCACCAGCCATGGGTGGACAGCTGGGCTTTCCCTTTCCACACCCTTAATTGATGACACTTCCCACTTTTACCAAAATGAAGGTGGAAGGACCTGCTTCCTTCAACTTTATTAAATTTTTCAGACAGCAGCAGATTGACACTAATGCTCAACTGACCCCATCTATGACTCCCAGTCATCCTCATCCTCCTCACCCACGGGCTGCTGTGGGGGTGGGAGGGGTGGTATTGAGTCCGACATGCGAGCAAAGGCACCAGCAGGACTGCCTGGAGCATCGGCATTCCCAGAGGCTCCTGGCCCTTTCCCTGAAATACCTGTGATGGAAGGAAAATCACCAGTAAGTGACAGCCAGGGACTAGAGAACACAGACTCAGCAAAGGGAAGGGGGAAAGTCATGCTCCCAGCACCCAGGTAAGCAGAGCTGCCAACATGTTCAATGCTGCCACAGTCCTGTGCCAAGGGCTCGTTTAAGTACAGCTCCACCTGAGCAAGTCCCTGCTGTTCTCTGCCCAGCACTCAGGCATGGCCTGGCCCTAAATGCCCCTGGCTGGGCAACTCAGGTGCCCCCATGGGTGAGGGTCCAGGTGGCTTTCAGAGTCCATCCTCTGACTGAGACACACAACCTCCTCCAGTGCCTCCAGCTGGACTTCAGGTGGAAATTCCTCTGCTCAGCCTCTCTAAAGACACTCCCAGTCACACTGTGGTACACTTGCCAGGGAAAGTCTCTCTCTTCCTGTTTCTAGAGCTGTGGCTGACACAACTGAGGTGCCAGGAAATGCTCTCCCTCTTTCCTAGGGGGAAGGAGCAGCCCACCCTGCAGGACAGTACCTTTGCGCCTCAGCACCAGTTTATTGAAGAGGTCTGACATCAAATCTCCACCTTGTCCTGTAGCTCTCACTGAAACAGGAGAATAAGTCAGTCAAGAAACACTAGTCTGAACCAAGCACTATAGCAAAAGCATTTCCCTGCAATACTGCCTTCAGATTAAAGAAAAAAACTCCAAACCTCTATTCTTGTATCACACTCCAAAACTATAGCCCAGTTTCAGGTCAGGAGAACACTAGGCACCACAGGGTAATGGCATCTTCTGGGGAAATCCAAGAGTGGAATTCCTTGAGGGGCTTTGCATTTGCAGTCTCATTCTGCCAAACCAGCTCCATCACTCCCCTCCCCAGCTACCTCAGCCAAGGTGCTCAGACTGGTTCAGCCTTGACCCTCTTGGCCCTGGGGTTTCATTTGTGTGTCTGCTCCCATGCAGCACACGGGAAACTTCTACATGTGCCCTGAGACAGAGCGTGCCTCCATCAAGAACATGGATGCCCTGGCAGATGGGGTTCAGTGAGTTCACAGAATGGGAAACACCTGAGACCTACACAGGCCTGTGAGGAGAGAGAACCCCTTTCTGCTCTCTAAGTTCACTGTGCTCCTGACTTGCCCGCCTGCCCCCAGTCCCACACCTCCCCAGCCTGGAGCAGAGAGCAAGGAAGAGCAGTTCTGCTGAAGGGCCTCAGCACCTTGTTCCTGTTCCTTCTGTTTCTTTTTCTCCAGCTTCCTCTCCTTGACACTGCGGAGGTTGGCCTTCCCAATGCCACCGGCCTGGCGGATGGACTCCAGGAGACTGGCACGCCCAGTAGAAGGGTTCACCACCTCCTTTGGGGCTCCCTGGACAGAAGCTGCAGGGACAGGAAGGACAGGCAGCACACACGGGTCAGTGCATCAGCTACAGGCCCAGCCAAATTCCAACAGAAAGGGCTATTCCAATACCCTGCCAGCCTCCCCGCTCTATTGGAAGGCTGGGAAGGCACAGGAAACCACCCAAGGACACAGGCTGAAGCCAAGGAGTCAGAGTCAGACGGGGCTGGTGAAGCTGTGGAGATGCCCAGCCCTTACCTGCAGGCACTGTGTTGCTGCTCTCCTCGCTCGCTGTCCGGGCCGGCTCAGAGGGGGCCGTGGGCTGGGGCAGGGGCGGCGGAGGAGGCACAGTGGTTGGCACAACAGGAGGCGGCGGGGGAGGCGGAGGGGGCGGAGGTGGCAATAGTTCAGCATCTTGAAGATCTGAAAGATGAAAGAAGTTGTATCTGAAGGATCCCAGAGAATGGCACGCTGAGAGCTTCAGCTCAGAGCTTCATGTGCCACAGCAGCAATGATCAGAGTCCTCAGCACATGCCGTGCAGCAGAGCACTCCCACCTGTGCACCATCTCTGACCAGCAGGCAGGGCCAAGGTGGAGTCTGAGATTCCCCTACTCCCTTCCCCAGCTGCATCCCGCTCACCAAGGGCACCCACCAGGCTGACGTGGAGCCAGTCCCTGCACACTGTGGTCCCTCCTCCTAAGCCATGCAAGGTAAGGGGCCTGAAGTCAGGCCAGCGCCTGAGCCAGCTGCAGCTTTCACTCAGTCCTAAGCACAAGCCAAAGGTATCTCCAATATTCATCTTAAAATCTCTACCAAGGGACTTTCTGCTTTGTCTCCATCTTCTAGCAATCCCTGCCTTCCTCCTTCACAGGGTCTTGGGATCAGGGATTGGAAATACCTGGTTGCAGAGGCTCCACCAACTCAGTGTTGAAGGTGGGCAGCTCTGGAATAGCACTGCTGGGGGCAGACGGTGCAATGCCGGGGCCCAGGTCAGCGCTGTACATGAGATCTGCAGCGATGCCAGGCAGGTCTGGCAGGTAGGATGGCACATCAATCTCAGGGACTTGGCCCAGATCTGGCACATAGAAGTAATTTTCAGCTACCTAAAAGAAACCCAAACCAGCAAGATAAGGCAGTGACTGTGCACTTGCAGCAAACAGGGGCACTGCAGGGAACACTCCGGGTGGCAGTCAGAGCTGAACTTGTGTACCCTGGTACAGCGGCCACTCATCAGCTACCCCTGCAACTCTGTGTTCAGAGGCTACCTCCTGCAGACCAGGCCTAGAAAAGGCCTGGAGGAGGAAGTGAGGGACTCTTCCTAATTTCTTGCAAGTGGACTCTCTTCTTCTCTGAAGGTTTCATGCACTAACTGTTGCAGTCAACATAAGCCAGTCCCTCTCCTCCAGAAGAGGATGGAGCCTGAACCATTTGAGATTAGGATGCAGGAGAGAAGGCCAACCAATTGGTTAGATGGGCTTGGTCTTCTGTTTAACACAGGGAAAACAGTAGCGAGGTGCACTGTGAATAAAGGATTTATTCACTGTATACACTATTTCCTCCAGTCCAACGTGATGAGCAAATGGCTCCTAGGCTCCTTTTCCCAGTTCCAAACCACATATTCAACCACACACCAGCAAAGCTGGTATGTCCCAGATATGGCTTCAACAAAGTGTCAGGTACAAGATCAGTCACATGTTTGAGCAACTGGGTGGGTGTCTGCACTGAGCACAAGCCCTTTGCTCAGTCTGGCTAGCCCTTCTGTTTGCACCAGCAGGCACCCCTTCCCAGCAGGAATGATGGGGATCAGACCTCCCACCAGGGACCTGCTAGCAGTGGCACCTCACCCTCAGACTCCTCATGAGGCTCAGGAGTTATCACAAAGGAGGCTGATCAAGTGATAGATCCTCCAAACTCCCCTACAGACCTGAGGTCTCATGGCAAGGTGAACTGGTGTCACATTACTCTTCTCACACCACTCAGCAAAGGATGGAGCACAGAGAGAAATGCCTGCCAAGTCTGAGGGTTTTGTCTCGCGTCAAACTCACACCAGGACCTCAAGCACAAAACCAAGCAAGGTCCTTCTGGTAAGTGAGGTACTCTGCAGCCCCATGAGGGGCCATTCTCCTACCTGCCCTCCACCCTACAGAAGCCCTCTCTTCTCAGAGAGCTGAGCACAACCCTCTGAAGTGGAAGCAGCTGCATCACCACAGCTGCGTCTCACCTGTCGGTCCAGCTGTCCCCTTTTGGTGATGGAGAGAGGAGCATCAAAGAGCTTCTCTTCTGTCTCTGTTTCCAGAGCCACATGGGTCTTGGTCACTGCTCCAGCCAGAGGATCCAGGAAAACGTACTTCTTGTACCTAAGAGTAGAGGACATGTATTTTAGTGATACTACCTCGAGAGCCAAGGCCAGAAGAAAGTGTACCCAAGAAGGCCATGGAGGTGGAGACCTCCTGACTTCATTCAAAAAGGTTGGGCCTTCCAGTTTCCTTCTTTTAGCCACATTTTCCAGCCTTTCCCCTCCACAACCAGGAAGCAATCAGCTCCCCACCCTGCCAGTGCAGCCTCCACAATCACCCTAAAGCAAACCCCACTGCAGTGCCACCATTGCCAAGCTCTCCCCTTTCCACCACCCAGCCTGTGGCAGGACACCAGTGACTTGTCACTCAAGGTCCAGGAGGAAAGACAAAAAGGGAAAATGATCCATGGCTCAGGAGAAGAAAGGGAAGGTCCAGCAGCTGAAATCTCTAAAAGGGCTTAAAGAAGCTCTTCAATATGGGCAGAAGGAGGAACCATAAGGCAAAGTCCAGTAATGGGAAAGGGAACTGCAGTGAGGGAGGCGGTGGAGACACTGAAACAGTGAGGGCAGTCAAGTGATGCTGCAAGGAATCATCAGGAGAAGAAGCAGTACCTAGGCTGGCACATGGGGCAGAGAAGGATAGGAGTGACAGCTCATCTCAAGGCTGGAGAGAAATTACAGGGGAACAACAGGAAAAACTAAGTCAGGGACACGAAGTGCAAAACTGGGTTGAATGCAGATGAGTAGAAGATCAGGTGCAGATAAAACAACTCCCTCCACCCAAGGGAAAGAATGGGGAAGAAAGTGTTCCTAGCTGGAAGCCAGTGCAGATGTAGCAAACCTTGTCCTATCAGGAGCCTGATATGTAACACCCCCAGGAAAGCAAGCAGTTACTGCTACCCCTGGGGAAGGGAAAGCTCCTCTGAGGACAAGCAGGGGCAGGCGAGCAGCACAGCACTGCTCCAGCTCTCACAGGTTCTCAGTGGTATTGAAGAGCAGCAGGGAGCTGAGGGAGCTGATGTTCCTGGGCAGGCTGCCAAGGCCTTCTTCTGCATCATCCTCCTGGTGAATTTTGGTGCTCACGCACACGGGGAAATACTTGAGCTTTTCCTGCAAGAAAACAGATAACAGGTAGTAAGACACTAAAACCATGGCTGCTGAGGTAGCTCTCCCCAGCCACCACAACCCACACTGCTGGCTGCACTGTACAGTCTGGGAACCCTACTGCTTCCTCTCTACCTCCCTTTGAGCAAGGAAACACATGGACAACATTGCAACCCCACACTCATCACAAATCTTGGCAGTTCAGACTCATGGCACGTGCTTTTGGTGCCATGGATGGGTCATATCGAACACGTTGCTGTGGCAAGGACCCACCAAGATAAAGCCACCACTCAGGCTCTATAGTCAGAGGCAGGGATCAAGCACAACAGTCTAAAAGGCGTTTGTTACAGTGTCTCCAACTGCTACACATTTTCATGCAGGCAGAGTCCCCCAAACATCTCTATTACCTCCCCTCTGCTGCCTTCAGTTGATGTTTTAAGAGCTGTGATCCCACTGTTGGGGTATGCAGGGAAGGCAAAGGAAAAAGAGATTAGGAAAAAACAGAGTGCCTGCACTAGGCAAGAGATCAGGCAGAAAAGAGTGTGCGGGGTGGAACGTGTGCCAGATGGTTTTGCAAAGCCTGAGGGATTTGCAGGAGTTTTCAACTCTAATGAACTGAAATCTCCTCTGTCTCGGTTCTAAAACTTCATGCATAATATATATAGAACTCCCTTTAGAAAAGGACTTATTACATCTGAACTGCCTGACTTTTATAGAGCACAGGAATTGCCATCCCACATCAGACCAGTGTTTCAGCTGGCGTGACAGTGCCCACTGCCACATGCTCCGGGGGACGAAGCTCAGCCCCCGCAGCACTCTTTGCTCTAGTGGGAGGAAAGGCATCAGTTCCTGAACCCAGAGACAGTTTGGGAGGGAAAAAACCACCACCTCAGATCCCTTCACACACCTCAGCCCCTTTACAACTCCTGCTTTCTTCACAAACTGGGGCAAGCAGCAGCCTGGCAGTCACAAGGCGGTAAGTGTTCATACCAGGAGAAACCAGAGCAGATTGTCAGGTTAAATAACTGGCCACACTTGTGGTTTCCTTCACCAGAAGACGACCACTTCAAATACTGCCCACAGCTTCCTACAGCCTCACTACTTCCAGCATCCCTGCACCATCCCATTCTCTGTATCATCTATCCTTGTCTTTGTATGGGGGAAATGGAGACCACCATTGGTTCAGTTTTAAGATCACATCTCAGTGACACAAGCAGTTTGTCCTGTTTGAAATTTCAGTCTTGAATCTGGTAGCCAGAAATCCTAAGAAATGGCTTAGTCACAGCTCAGTTAATCCACTAGGAGTTTCTATGATGCTCTGAGTCTATAAAATGCTATAAGACCTGGGAGGTTTTGATTTAATTCACGTTCCAACTTGTGAAAAATACACTGAAATGAACATCTTGTATTTTTTTTCAGAAGTAGGCAAAAATATACAAATTCTTATTTATAGACTGTAGAAGCAGAGACTCAAAAATAAAAGTTCTTTTGATCATTAATATTCGTTTCTCAATGTTTAATTTTTTAAGCATGAGGGAGTACTGACTTTTTTGCTAGAACTGTTCAGACACACTTAGCCCTCAAGTCATATATATATTTTTTTAATTCTCTCTCTGTAGATTTCAGTTACCACTGGAAGTCTGTGCGCCACTTTAAGGGCATAGTGAGAAACCAACCATTACTTACATTTACTTATAAGCCTCATCTAAGGCAGTTATAAAAGCAGTAAGCATGAGTATTATTCTGAAACTTTTAATTTAAATGCTATCAAAGTGCTAGTCTTATTCAAGTATCTAGATCTGTTTTGAAATTTGGAACAGCTACACACTGTCAATACTATCCCACATCTGTAAATTCCTGAAGTTAACAAGCCATTTAAAAAGTAGTTTTCTTATAGGAAGACTAAGGCCTTAAGCCAAAGTTCAGCCACCTTGATATACTGAAGTCTTGAGGGATGCTTGAATGCTCAAACACCCCAGCCTGGAGTTTGGCAACTGGCAGGATCACACTGCCAAGGACACTGCATTTTCAGGCATTTTTCTCCAAAAGAACCTACAGTTAAAAATACACAGTCACCCTGGTTCTGAAGTTTAATTAAGCAACAGTATTACAAAGGGAATTGGTGTGATACACCACAAATCCCACTCTCCCATACCAAGGGAGTGCTTAGGCTATCTGGAAAAGCACTTCAAGATAAGCAAGTGGCAAAAATCTGGTTTAGCCTCCCTATGCCTATGGTGGGCTCTGAGAGAGGCAGAATTCCCAAGAACATGCCAAGTTACTGACATTTTTGAAGCCTAGTAAGGTTACTCGAGCAGCAGTCTGTAACTTTGTTTGCACCTCTTCTGAAGCCCAGGTAGACCATGTCTCCCACCCCATTTTTCAGTCTCCCAAGGGGCAGGTACAGCACCAATACACAGCTCCCACTGCAAAGGCAGGGCACAGAGCCTGGGAAGCTCCACAGGGCTGCAGCCAGCTCCCTGCTGAGCCCTGCCCAGCTGCTACCACAGCAATGTGCAAAGCAAGTGGCTTTTCAGGCTTACCACAAGGACTGAGCTTCTGGCACTCTTATCCTTACCTTACCAATCTAAACAGTGCCCACTCAATGACTGAGTTTTCACTTGCTTGGGATGGAGAGGGAAAGAAGAAATTCCAAGGGGGGAACCATTTTCAAATAAACTGCAGAACCACACAGATTTACAGCTCAGCTGCTTTCCCCCCTGAGCACAAACCCTAAATGCTGAGCACAGGCTGCCACCGTTTACTCTCAAACTGACAGGAGCAGAGTTTGCTTTCCTGGTGGGGATGTGCAAGTGGAGTTAGCAAGGGCCACTGTGACTGCTCCCAGCAAAGAGGCCCTCATTAGAAGTGAAAACAGGCAGTGAGCCTCTGCTGAAAGCCCTAAATAATTGAGGAGGGCATAAATGCAAACATTAGACTTCTCCCTGCCACATTTCATTACTGCAAGGCACATCAGGCTCCGTGCTCAGCTATGGCCGAGAAGGGTCTGTCCCACTGGAGCACGGTCAGAGCTCAGCTGCACCAAGCACCACTCAACACACCAACTGCTCCTGGTGCAGGGCCCTCCATCATTCACCAGCTGGAAGCAGCATCCCCCCATCCCACAGAAGACATGAAGGAGCTCCCGTGTGTGAGCCTGACAAGAGTGACCAGGCTGCTGCATGACGCAGGGTCAGCAAAGCCAGAGAAAGATCAACAGCCACACAGGACGATCAAAAGATGGGTCACAGGAGGGGAACAACAAACATCCATCAGGGCCTGAAACAAAGTCCCTGTGGGGATGGCAGCCTTAGTCACAAAGGGCAGAACATGGCAAAGGTATGGAGACTGCCTGGGAAGAGGTGGCATTGCAGGCAGATGGCTGTGGGGAAAGGCTTGTGGAGCCTGCTGGAGCCAGCAGGCCAGTTGAACGGGCACACCATTGGCTCTCTGCAGGACACTGCTTTCTACCAGCTGAAGCTCTTCTCAATTTCCCTCCTGTGTCAGGGGCTATACATTGGCACCAGCCCTTCATGGCGAGGACACATCTCCCTGTCCACTCACTGCTCACTGCCTACCTCTGCTCCCCCCACGCTCTGATGGGACGGGGCCACCAGCCAGACAGCACCACTAACTGGCCTCCCAAAGGCTGGCAGCAGGTCCCATGCAGCTCTGCCCTGCCCTACTGCCAGGACCCGGAGGAAGCAGGGACCCTGCTCAAGGTTGCCAGCTGTCCATTCAGCCAGCAGCCCTGCTTCCTTGGCCTGGCTGAAATATTCATAACTACCTCACTGTGAGGCCTCAACGCCATTAACACTCGGGAAAGTTTAGCATGATAAATTATTCAGTGGCAGCTTTATTTTTGGGCCAAGTCACACATGGATTAGGAAGGAAGTCTCTTTAGGGGTGGAAAGCATGGAAGTTGTCAAGTTGATCCCTAACCTGCCTGGAATAGCACATTTGCTACTCCTGACAGAGCACATACACATCAACTTTTAAAATTTAAGCACGTCAACTTTTCCTCCTGTCCTTCCAACCCAGGGATGTTGACCCAAATTGTTGAAGAATCCTTTGGTAGCACTTCCTGCCAAACCCATTGCTTCTCAGACCTCCCTAAAACCTCCCCTCTCTGCTACTGTTGTGGTTTGAGGTTAAAAGGGAACTCAAAAGTTCAGAACCTCTTTCAATGCCACCAGCTGCAGGCATCTGTGCTATGGGTACACCTGGAAGCCCCAACTGGGCTGGGTACTGAGAGATTCAGCCTCTCTGAAGGGCTTGAAACCTACAATGGATGAGCTACATCTATTGTATGTAGGCAAAGGAAAAGCAAAGCACAAACTAAAGAAGCAGCAAAATGATCTTCCCTCCTCCCCAAGATGTACAACTTTGCTGGGAACCAGGAAGGGACAATATCCAAGTGCAACAATTTCCTGGGGCAGAAAAGTGCTCTAATGAAGGACTTCTTTTTCTCCTGAGACACTAACAATCTTTCTTACCTTTCCCCTCTCACCATCGCTTACATCAGAGCCTTCAGAAACTATTTTCTAAACAGCTACGACCCTGATCCCAGACTTACACAGTTGAAGGATTAAGCCCAGGCAGCAGCACCCACCAACAATTGCTGCAGAAAAGAGCATTTCAGGAAATGGAACTGCTCCAGAGAGTTGGCAGCTGACAGATACCCAGAGCACTCAACCACCCAGACAAGGTCTTGTACTGACACAGCCCTCTCAAACTGGCATCTCCACAAGCTTCCCAGCCTAATCTCACATCCTTTCACTGACAGACCAAATGAAAATATGTTCTGCTCCCAGCCCATATCCCAAAGCCTTGATCCACTTTGTCAAAGAGACTAACAGCCTCCCAGCTTCTTTTTGCTTGTTCATGCCAAGGTCTGCTCTCCTCCTCCTTACCTGCAGAGCTTTCTCATCCAGCATTCGATGTTTGCTCTGAATCTTGTGCCTTGGCCCTTTCTGTTTAGCTGGGTCTTCTGCACCAGCAAAAATTGAACTGTACTCCTGCAGCCGTTCAGGGGCTGGGTACTTGGCACTGGAAAATACCTGTGGAGAAACAAGGAGGGACTGAAACAACCCAACAGCTGGGAAATTCTACAACACAGAAACACACAGAATGGAGTGAGCATCCTATCTGTGCTGCCAATGGGAATGGACAGCCTTGGAGATAGCAGGCTCCTAACAGTTACGTGCATGGACTGCCACTTCTGAAACTGGAAGCGCCAGAACCTCTCTATAAAAGTAAAAGGAGATCATTGGCAAAAATGCTTCCACTGGCAGGAAAGGAGTTGGAAATACTGTATAAAATGGAGCAAGAACAGTGAAAGGAGGATTTTCACCAGTTTTACATGGCTCAATGGGATTAAGATGCACTAAGGGGAGGCTCTCTAACAGCAGCTTTCATTCAAATAGCCAAAGTGTCTATGAGTCTGAAGTGCGAGGGTGTTGGGCTTAGTCAGCACATGCCTTTCATCTTTCTCAGGAAGCAGCTGGGACAGAAACCTATAAAGGCTCCATAAAGCCTGGGGCTGTGTGGCTCATGGGTCTAAAAATCATCAGTTGGCCAAGTCAGGAATGGGATTCTCATCACAACCCTGCTCAGCAGCACGGCATGGAGTGGTGAGTGGGCAGCAGCTGTGGTGGCCGAGCACCCTTTCTTCACCAGAGCTTACATCAGAGGTACAGAGAGAAGGTGGAGGGAAGAAAGGAAACAGTGCAGCCTTCACTGAAGTCACTACCTTAATAGCCTTTTTGCTGCCTTTTATCTTCTCAATCTTCGCTTGGGCGAGTGTGACTCTCTCACCAATTGCCTGAAGCTGTGCCCGGCTGGCCTCCACCCGCTGAGAGATCCTAGGAAGCAAGCACATTTCCTAGGATGAAGAATCCAGAACCAGCGATTTTTGGGCAACAGCCAGTGCCCAGACCCTCAGAGAAGGATGCAAGTCTCTGTGGACTGGGTTGTTTCAAAGGGCAAAACAAAGTGCTGGTTGAGACGCACTCATCTCCATCCCATTGAGAGCTTTATGTACTCCGACATGACATGAAGTAGGACTAGTCCATGACTCACAGCACAATGTTCCTGAGGCTGTTTAAGGCACAGAAAGATGGAAAACTGCAGCTTTTTTGCCAACACCAGAGGGCCACAAGCCTCTCTGCAGGTACTGCTGACAAGAAAGCCAGTTATCAACTGCCAACATATTTTTAATAAAAATGACTTGTCACAAATGAAAGGCAACACATGTTAATGAGCAGAGTTCAGGACTCGCATGGCTTATACTGTCCTCTCCTGTACCAGCAGGTCGTTACACAACTTTGTCTATGTTGCTTAGCAGATTTGTGATTTGGTTTCCACATCAGTTAAACAAGATTAGGTCCTCATTTGGAGAAATGAAGCACGATAATGTGCATCATTTTTGCATGACTAGATGTGCTGGTTTTGGTTGGAGTAGAGTTAATTTTCTTCATAGTAGCTGATATGGGGCTGTGTTTTGGATTTGTACTGGAAACACTGTTGATAACTCAGGGATGTTTTGGTTATTGCTGAGCAGGGCTTGCATAGAGCAAAGGCCTTTTCTGCCTCTCACCCCATCCCACCAGTGAATGGGCTGGGGGTGCACAAGGAGTTGGGAGGGGACACAGCCGGGACAGCTGATCCTGACTGACCCAAGGGATATTCCATTCCATATGGAATCATGCTCAGCATATAGACTAGGGGGAAGGTTGGCAGGGGGGCACTGCTCAGGGCCTGTCTGGGCTTTGGTCAGTTGGTGGTGAGCAATTGTTTTTCATTTGCATCACTTGTCTTTCTTGGGGTTTATTTCTCTTCCTTTTATCTTATTTTCCTTCTCATTACAGTATTATTATCATCATATTTTATTTCCATTATTAAACTGTTCTTATCCAACCCATGAATTTTCTCACTTTTACCCTTCCAGTTCTCTACCCCCCAGCCTGCTGGGGGCAGGGTGAGCAAGGGGCAGTGTGGTGCTTCGTTGCAGGCTGGGGATAAACCATGACACTAGATCAGCATCAAAATGCTTTGGGACTGAGGTGAAAAGCACTCTGTGGCAAAAGGGGAGAGCAGACACTGGTTAAGTACCTCTGTGTTCACCATGTGGACATATTCCTTTCCCACAAAGACTACAGCAGACACCTTGCAGCCAGGGGCACAGCCAAAACTGCCTGCATGTCACGCACAGTGGCTGCCATGCTGCTGGAACTGTCACACAGGTTCAACCAGAGGTTAGGAGGAACATTGGGAGCAGACATCAGCTACAGGAAACTACGGAATCACCCTCTCAGAAGAGCCCTTCCTTCCCCATGCACGACCAGCAGGTTCTCCCTAGCTTCAAGCTCAAAAGCTGAAAAGTGTTCTGAACATTCACCCCTCCAATGAAATCAGTAAAGAGTACTTTTATGGCTATACGACCCATTAGGAGAGAGAGCACTCCACTTCACCAGTGTTTTGTAGCAATGAGTTCCATCAGATCATTTTGTGCCTGTAAAAATCAATCTCAAGTACTGTCTTTCAATTTTACCAAAAGTCCCTCTTTGCTTTTGAGAGAGCTCTCACACTTTTTTTCTGCTCTGTTTGTATAATTCCCTTCAGCAACAAATTTGACATCAGCAGTGATCCATGATTCCCAATTTCAAACTGTACCAAACCCATCTTTTCAAGTATTTTCACCCTGTGCAGCACATTCCCTATTACAGTATAGAAATGGACTCACTACAGCACATTCCCTATTACAGTACAGAAATGGACTCACTAAAGCCCCCCACAACATAGGTAGTGAAAAACAGCCAATACAAACCTGTTTCACCTTGTATCATTCTGGTAGTACCCCACTTCTTTCACTAAACAGCTTTAACTGTTTCTGTTTGTTTATACCCATGCTCCCCTGTTCCTGGAAGTATGAAAAACCTTCCTTATGCATATGGCAGGATAGCACACAGCCTGTTTCCACTTTATTCTGTTTGGAGTAGGAGACGAGTAAAATTGAACCTCATGAGATTCTCCCTCTCAGAATTATTCTCCATTTCTCCATCCTTTTATTTTAAACACAGTCTAACAGCTTGTATTTTGTACCAACACTGAGTACAAATCTGTTCATGATTTTCTTCCCACATCCTCCCTCTGCCTCAGTGGAGTAAGTCCACATCACTTATACACTTGATAGGTTCTCAGAGTAGTTTCTGTTGTTCCTTTCAGTGTGCATTTCCTAGCACCTGTCTGCAGCAAGTTTCATGTGTCACAGGGCTGTCCCATTGCCTTGTTTTGTTCAAGTGTGAGATGCCTCTGAAGGACCTGAGTCTTCCCTAACTGCTCTCCCCAGAACATTTTCCCACCTCACAGTTCACCTCTTTTCTAGAAGTTTCATAATTGTATTGATTGACTCTATTTCCAGTACTGTTCCTGGGGGCATCTGACTATTTTTTCTTCCTTCAAAACTGAAAAAACCCCAGTCATTTATTTCTGCTTTGCTGCTCTCCCTCAAATCAATGATGCAATTTTCTCTCTCACCTGTGAGTAGACCTCTCTCCTAGAAGAACTCAACAAAGCTTTCCTGAAGCTCCACATAAAAGCAAGGTATCAAGTGCCTTTTAGCCAATACCCTGCTGACTCCCAGACATAAGTTTCAGGACCTGACAGAGCACGTTTCTCTCCCAGAAGGAAGTGTTAAGCAAGCAGTTATGCAAGCTCAGACCTAGAAACCAGTAAGTGTTCTCCTTTCTTCCACTCCATGACTGTGAGTGGGTCAAATGAGCCAGTGAAATGCTTCCCTTGCTCCCTTTCCTGCCCCACATTATCCCCAGTGCTTCACCAGGTATCAACTTCTTCCTCTCCCTTGCCTCACTCAGTGTTTTGCTAGCTGTGAAGAAGCAAAGGAGTTTTTGAGGAATCCCAGTTACACTTACCTTTCACCCTTAAGCCCTCCCACATTTAACTCTCATCCTCCAAAACACCTGTGCAGGAGAGGAACAGTGCCACAACTCCCTTTACAGCCCCACCAAACACAGCAGTGCATTGGCTATTCCAAAGGGCTTCCCAGTGCCAGACTCCTCATCTCTCCTGTAGCACAGACAGCACCATGGGAATAACAGAGAGCAAAGCACCTCTCAGTCCACCATGCTGCACACACCTTTCTCATTTAAAATTTGCTGGAACCTCTCTTAAAAAGGAAGCAGCCCTAAAACCCGGACATGACTGGCAATTACTGCGTCCTAGCTGCAACAGTAATGGTGCATCCATAAGGAAAGAGGGAAGACATCCAGAGTTTCATCCATCCCTACTGGCCACCAAATATGATCAGTGAAAGGGCAGTATCAGGCAGACAGCCCACTTCCAGCACAGGCTGGGGAAGTTGTCCAGTGGCAGCTCAGGTGTTTCAAACCATGACAGCCCTTCCCCAAGGCACTCTGTACTCTCTCCTGTGATCTGCTACTCTAGGATTTGACAGGCCAAATCCCACTGACCTTAGGAGTTCTGCCAAAAACCTTCACCTGAGGTGGTATAGATGCAGGCCCACAACACCGAAGGAATACACATCAGTCTACGAATTAATTTATTTGTTGCCGAACAAAATAACTTTGAAAACAAATATTAAACCTCCTCAATCCAACTAATCCAAATTCCATCACATGTACAGCCTCCTAGAAGTGCATGACTGTTATGCATGTACAGTTCAAGATACAGCTGCATGTGTTAGTTAAAAGAGACAATATACTGTACTGATACAGAAAAAATATATGGAGAAAAACCCCTTGTGTTCAATCATCCTCCAGTAATTTTAGTATTTCTACTGCTGTGGAAACTGAACTTACTCTAAGGAGTCAACCAGTGTTTGTAAAGAAAGGAAACAGAAAGGGAGGGAGAGATGTTGCCAAGGATTTCAGGAGCAAAGTGCTTGAAGCAAGGTGGCATTCGGAGCTCATCACTGAGCAGTGTTTGGTTGAAAGGCAATTGCACTCAAGACAGCAGGGTAAATGTTCATAAAATACCCATTGCTGCCCCTCAGAACCCTTTGCTCAGACAGCCAAAGCCACCATCAGTGTCTAAGCCTGCCCCATGCCTAAGTTATTAGTCACTGCTGTGTTATTTTGCTCTCGGTGCTCTCTTCTGCTTGAGAAACGCCTTTAGTTAGATTCAATGCGACTTTGGAGTTGCAAAGAAGCAGGAGGCTACAGCAACAGCCCCCCCATTTCATCAGGATGTGCTCCCTTTGGGACAAGAGAACAGGAGGCCTGTGGAAAAAGAATAATCACCTACCTTCAAATCCCGGGCACTGAGCCAAATCAACCTTCCCCTCCCAATGCTTTTCTTTGGGGAAGTAATACATGTGGTAGATTAAATCTATCTAGTGGATTATCTCTTAATCCATATAGGCTTTTATTTTTGATCTGAGCAGATATTAAAGCCAATCTTTCAGCTGCTTTGATTCAAGCTTTCACTTTCTCTTGTACCTCTGAAATCTTTTTGCCCTCAAGCCCCCTGCACCTCACCCCCAACTTAGATCTTGTTTCTCCATTCTCCTAAGGCTCTCATCCTGCTGCCTTAAACTCCTCTCCATTTTACAGGCAACTCTATCCAACACCACAGCAAGTTCCAGGAATATTTCCTCCCAGATCACTGCCCCTATCCTCTGTCCCACCTGCAGCCACAGAGCAGATCACTTCTTCTTATTTCCTTATAACTCCTCTGATATATCCCACATTCAGGCAGCTACTGGAAGACCTCCTCTGCTACATCTGTGTCTACTTGTGGGGTAAAAACTACTGTTCTCTTGCTCCCATAGGAAAAAGATTTGAGGCATTAGGAGTCTGGCATCCAGGACACTGGATACTGCCTG